TTATTGGTGCTGCTGTCTGTGTTACAGCGTGTCGTGATGTACAAGCAAAGGAGGAAACTCTCATTCTCACACTTAAGCGTCCACAACCTCCTCGCTGCCTCCAGCTTTAGCTTCCTGAGCTGAGCCTGGAGCAAAGACGGGGCTTGAGAAGTGACTCTCCTCTCACTTGCTCAACTGCCACTAGACAGCGAGTCCTGGCTACAGAAGGAGAGGTGAGAAAACAAGAAGCCTTCAAAAGCTCAACAGTTTCACAGCAAAACCCCCCATCACCAGAAGCAAGATGATGTTATTCCACTGGCCTGTTTTGCGCCTCACAGGAAATAACAAGTGACTGTACAAAATGTTTTGGATCCAGAGAGGCAATTCAGAAATCCTGTCTTGTTTCAGAATTCCCAAATCTTAAAAGCCATTCTTGAGGACACGACATATTCCAAGCAAAATTGAAACACGCCTGCAAGTTGTCTGGGGGGCTCGTGGCAAGCCAGAAAACAGGATTCATGCTCACTGCTCAGTTCCAGTTCCATCTGAAAATTCCAAGCAAAAAGCAAACGCCTCAGCCCCCTTCCCCAAAAATTGCTTTAGGATTGCTGTGAAGGAATGAAAGTAGAGCAAATGCGCCTGCTTGAGATTTTTAGGAGGAGGAAAGCAGCTGGAGGCACCACCAGCAGCACTGCTCTTGCAGCAGTTTGAAATAACAGTATGTAAAAATATTGTTTATCCACAGAACTATTTACACATCTCATCTCCAAATCACCATTCTTGTTCAAGAGAGTACCAATCTGAATGGGTTCTCTCCCACACAACAAAACATGCTTTTTTCTACAAGACCAGTCATACATGGGCTGATCTAATAGCTCAAGACAAGTGAAACGTACCTTTAATACAACCCTGTTCCCATCGTGCTGGAAGCAGGAGCTGGAAGGACACAGTGGCCTTTTCATTCAAAGGGCTGTTCCCACCAAGACTCATTACAGCATTCCAGTAAGAAGGATTTCACTCGGAATAGATCTTTGGTAATTGGGTCCAAACATTGTACCTGGATCCCAACCACGCGCACGCATCCATTAACAGCCACATGCCTCCGTTTGGGTCCACGGGCTCATCCCATGGTCCCACCAACCCACCCTGATCCCGGCCTGCACCCCACCGATGGGACAAAGGGGGTGCTGGCAGCTGGGGCACCGAAAGGGTTAAAATCCCATGTCAAACAGCAAGTCCTGGCTCCAGACCAGAAGGGACATGGGAACCAGGGCAGCTGAGTTATAAAGGCCTTATTGTAGCAGCCCACTGGATTGGAAATGACTTGTAGGCCTAATGAAACAAAACTTTGGCAGTAAAACAGAATGAAAGGAATGAGACAATAAAAGAGAGGAACAAAGGGAGCAGAGTTGTTTCAGCTTAGGAAAATAAGCTCACTTTGTTGTTGGGAAAAGCCAAAGCCGATTAGGATAAACCAATGACTAGGCATAAGTCTTCCAAACTAATTACACAGTTCACCATGTGAAGTATAATTGCAAGTCGCAAAATAAGGCCTGCACAACTTTCACAGGAGCTCTCCAAAGGGAGCATTACCTAGTAAAAATGGACCCTAAGAACTCCCTTATCATCAGTCCCTTCCAGCTCAAAAGGAGCAGAACATGCACGTCCTGAGAAGAGCAATTCATTAGCGGTTGGGGCTTTCTTCTCCTGGGCACAGTCAGGGTGAGGCTTTCAGAGGCTCTTGCTTCTTTTTCTCTTTTTATTTAAATGATACCAGAAGGCTGAAATGCTCCAACATGTCCTGATCTCATCCAGCACCATTTGCTTACACCTCCAGAAAGCCACAGACCTGCTGATGGCTCCAGGCAGAACCTAGGGCCTCTCCAGAGAGGGAAGCACAGCCCCACCAAGCTTCCCTTTGGATCGCCTCACTTCTTGCACTTCCTCACTTCCAACTTGGTCTCACCAGCCAGCCTTTCACTCAGCACAAGGGCAGCGCTGCAGATGGGTTAACACGGCCAGTGGATCAGTTTGTTTGCCAGAAAGTTTGAAACATCTCTGACTGAAGCAACACAGGAGTGCAGAAACGACTGCATTAGACTACCAGGATTAGGTACCAGGACAGCCAAGGCCAGGTTGGACACAGGGGCTTGGAGCAACCTGCTCTAGTGGAAGGTGTCCCTGCCTGTGGCAGGGGCTGGAACTGGATGAGCTTTAAGGTCCCTTCATCCACAAACCATGCCATGATTCTATGATTCATTCCAGTAATTTTCCCCAGTTTTCCTCTGCAGTTTACAGCAGCCAGGGATGCCCGTCTGTGCAAACCCGAAAAGCTGGGACTCCTGCAGATCCTGGGCTTTACAGGGAGAAATAATAACGACTACCAGAAACTTCACAATCAAAGTCTCAGGAGTTTTCATTACCACGAATTTCGGTGCTCTCACGGGCAGGCGTTTTCACTGGTGAAGTCAGGGAAGAGGGTTTATTAAAGCACTTCTCTTTTTATTGGAGGAAAAAAAGATCCTGGCATTTACTTTTCAAAAAGCTGCAGTTTCCAATTCAACACTTCACGTCCTTTCCTGCCAGCTCCAGTTAAAGGAGCGAGCCCCAAAGCTGGTGGCTGTTCTAAACACGTCGTGTATTTTGAGAGCTACATCCAGTTACCAAAACAACCTCCCCTGGCTGCAAAGTTCTTCTCTGCAGCAAGTACAAACAGGATTTCAAGAATCGCAGCAGTAGGTAAGCAATTTTTTCCACACCACTAAATAAGCTCAGCATTTCAAAGAGCAAGTCACCTGAGATGCTCTTATCAAACATGGGCGGCTCCTCTGCACATTAGGTAACGTAATTTGCCTTATTTTAAGGAGGTGCTAAGCAAATGCAACCCTTGCTAATCCATCACCACGCACTGCCTGCATTGCAATGGCTTGACTGGAGAGCAAGGTTTGTCCCCGAAGCAGTGCATGGATGGATCACCAGTACCTGCCACAAAGAGCTTGCAATCTGAGACTGGGAGCCAAGGAAAGGTGGGGAAGAGAATGGAGAAGGAAGCAGCTCCCAGAAGGCCCCACAGGGCCAGTCCTGGGTCATTACAGCTGAATGCAACATCACACCCACTGCAGCACATTAATGAGTCTTCTAATTCAGCTGGACCACAGGTTCCTCGGGTCATTAACCAGCTCTGCATCTCCTCACCAGCAGAGCCTTGGGGAGAATCACCTGAAACACCCCACAACCCAGACTCTCTCAGCTGATGAACAGCAAAGCACAGCAGACAGAACTTGAACACCTGCATGCAAGGTCAAGACACAGTGATACAGCCAAGAAACCTCTCCTCAAAACATCACTGACTTCACCAGACTCATCTCCTCACAAGCTAGGATGGGGAAGCATGAAACAGGGATGCAACTGGAAAAGATCAGCTGGTATCACAGGGACCAAGCCCTGTGAGCCCGAGTCCTACAGGAGCTGAGCTCTAAGGACTGGACCACGCAGCCTCAGCAGCACATGCTGCCAGAGGAACAGGTTCCAGCCTCCATCGCACCCCGTGCAAGTATTTTCAGCCCTTCCTTTTTTTAAGCCTTCAAATTAAGACACTTGAAAAAACACTTGATTTTCCAAAAGCATTGCCCTTGGAAAGGAAAACCTCTTTTAAGCCACCTCAGGAAAGGCAGAGCACGAAGGCAGAACTGAAGTGTCCCGAATCACCAGTCACTCCTGAAAAACACAGCCTCGTTGTCTGCATTCTCAGGGACTGTAAAATTGCAAGCATGAAACTACCAGATGGTGAAATTAAAAAGACTATATTAAGGCAGCATCCAGACAATATGCAAAGCACTTCTATTGAAACTATTATTAACTTCAAAAATACAGGTTAGGAGAGTTCTGCAATTAGAAGTAACTACAGAAGAAACATCCAAAAGCTCGTGTAATCCTTTAATAAAAGGCTCAGCAGGCTGTAAACATCCTGCCAGAATCGAAGATTATTATTGCAAATAAAATGAAAGGTTTGCAAAACAACTATCAATCCAGCACAGGGATGATTTATAAACTCACCCCCTCAGCCCTCAACAAAGTACTGCCCGACCAAGGCTTTTGGGGCAGATAAGAGAAACATAAACTAACTACAAGGAATGGGAGCTGCTTTGCTTTGGGGATATCCTGTTGTGTCTTCATGCAACCACGCACCCAAACCATCAGCTGGTGTACTTGGGAGACAGGAATCGAGCTGTATGGAGCCCGGAGGGCAGCGGGGCTCACAGGAGTCTCCATGGAAGGTGGCACCATGAACTGCTCTCAGATCAGAGTGCTCTACAAGCTCTTCGCCGTGCTGGACTCCAACAAAGCCGCCTTGGGGTCCAGGTAGCTCCATGGAAGTTGATGGCACTAAGCCCCAGCCACAGCGTGGACTGTGGGGTTTGAGCTGTTCCATCACAGAAAAGACTGTTCTGGCAAGGGCCAGGATTCCTCCTGTGCATATACTTTTTTTTTTCCTAAATGATGTCAGGATCCTACATAAATTTCCTCAGGACCTTGCATGAGGACGTTTAAACAAGAAATGAAATGGATATTCTAGTGACTTCCACATTACTCTTGCTACTCACTGGTTCCTCCAGGCATCTTCACCACCTAAAGAGCTCCCTCAAACAGGTCTATCTGCTCCTTTTGCCACTGCAGGCAGGGCTAAGCAGAAGGCTGATTTTCTGGGGAAGACAACTGTGTAATTCTTCAGCTAAGGGTCAAACCCATCCTGAACAGACACAGATTCACCTCCCAGTGACTCTTCAATGGAACAGCCTTGGCAATGTTGTACACACACACACATGCAACAAACAGAACAGGAATTCCAGAAACGGTTCCAGAGGCTTCAAGAAATTACACTGCAAGGCACCAAACGTGGCCTGCTTTGAGCACAGACCTCGCTGCACTTCTGTTCTCAAAACACACTTCAAAAAGAAAGGAGGAGGAAAGCAAAGGACAAGAATCCAAACCACGCCGTGTTCACCGGGGCAGGACCTTACCTTGCCAAACTGCTCGAAGTATTGCTTCACGTCCTCCACTACCGTGTTAGCCGATAATCCACCGACAAATATTTTCTTTGTTCTTGTGACCATCTGTAAGAAATTACAAGACAAGCACATGGTTTAACCAGATTATTGCAAACAATATGTGGAAAACAGAGTCTTCAGATACCATCCCTAACCCAGTTAATGGGAATATTTCTTTACAGAAGCAATTCAGACTCTATTTGATTAGATACTTTCCCCCCCTCTGCCTTGTTTTGGTTTTATATGAGACATGGCTGAGCATGGCCTCTCAATAACAACTTTAGCCCCTGGATATTTTTTTTTAATAAGTGGTTTTTATTGTGCTTCTCAATGCAAATAGAAGTGAAGAAGGAGTCCAAGTGCTGTATCCTCATGGCTGCTGTCTCAAAGAAGACAAGCCATTTTCCCCCCTTCCCTCCTAAAGGCAGAGTGCGTGCTCCTTGGTGGACAAAAGGTGATTACATCAAACTGAAAAGTTGTGTTATTAAGTTTCCATGGATCAGTTTAAAAAGAACTTGCACAGTTACTTTACAAACAACCCAATCAAGGAAGACAGCGAGAGCTGCTGACACAGTGCTCCTCCAGCTGCCACAAACCACCTTCCACCCGAAATGCTCATGATACCACTGTCCATCAGGGCTGGATCAGAAACCCCTTCATGTTCCCCAAGAGCCCAGCTGAGCACCCAGCTCCTCCTGCTGACCCACATGTGCCTGAGTTCAGCCCATACAAGGAACAGGGATGATGCTGGACTCCCTACAAAGAACATTCTGTCACACCACCCACAACCCAAAGCCCTTTGAGATGGGCAGGATCCAGTTCCCTAACGGTGCCAGGGGAAGCCGGTGCCTTTGATGGGCTGATCTCAAACCATTTGACCCTTGTGGGCCACCTTAAATCAAGGCAGATCCAGGACAACATTGTCACCATGCTCTGAAGGGGTTGACATCATCCCCATACACTTGGACAGCGAGGAAATGCCCCAGCTTAGAGCAGGCAGTGACCTTACAACTGGAGACAGCCCATTAGCAGCCTACCCCACAATATGGAGACGTTTTGAGGACAACGTTGACTGTTACCTCAAGAAACCAACACACACATCAGTAAGAAATTCATGCAGTAAAACACCTGAGTTTGTTTCCTGTATATCAGAAGCCAACTTACAAAGACTGGAGGCAAAAAACGCCCCCTAACTCCAGAACCAGGAATTGGCTGGTTAAACAACAACCAGTGCATGCTGAAGCGATGCAAAGGGAACTCCACCGAGCAGTTGGCCAGACGCACATCAGACCCACTGTGAGCAGTGGTGCTCCCCAGACTGCCCCCCCCAGGCTTCGTGACACTGAGCCCCCCACCAAAAACCTCCGAGTAGCCCAGATTCTCTCAGTGCAGAACACATTAAACATCACATCACTCCTGCCTCCACTGCCGCTCAAATGAAGCAGGGAGGGCATTTCCCTCCATCAGCCCCCAACGTGCTTCACAGAGCTTTACTTGAGGTTTTTTCCCTAAGTTAGGAAGAAAAGACAGAAAAAAACAGTGTAAAAATTCAATTATTTTCCCTGGCCGCAATCTGGGCTCCAAAATTGAAGCCCAAGCATATATTTTTCTGTAGAAAATTGTCATTTACAAATAAAGAATTGGCTAAAGCCGACTTGTAACTAAAGGATTTTTCAGGGCTGTCAAGAGCCCTCTGCCTGCCAGCATCTGATTTAAGATCAGGCCAAGCTTCTGTTGTCATACAAAAGGGGGAGGAAAGCAATTATTCTAAAGCAATATTTGAAATTATCATCATTTTTATATTTGACCAAGAAAGAAAGAAAGAAAAGAGCTACTTCTTTTAGAGGCAAGATTGAAGGTTAAGGAAAAAAGGAAAAAAACCCCTACTTTGTTTCAATAGCTTCAGTCAAAGGAAATATTGGTAATGACAAGCAAATTCACAACATTTTAATGCCTTGAGATGTGTTGCGAGCTGGGAAATGGGTTCGGAAATCAGCTCTTTGGTACAAAAGTGAAGCACAAAATTAAGCCTGCTTTTACAATCTGCGTTCTCCTGAAGAGACGGTTCGATTGCCTTGTTACACATCTTCCCCTTAGCAAAAGAACACAAGTAACGTGTAGTCTCAGCAGTTCTCCCATCCTGACATGCCTCAACAGGAGGATTGCCTTCCCTTCACCCACAGCACAAGGTAACAACGTGCCCCAGACCCAGCATGGGCTCAGCCCCGTGTGGCTCAACCATGGAGTCCTCTTCTCACCCCCAACCCAACGATGAGCCCAGGAGACCTGGTCAAGAGACACTCATGGGGCTGGAAACCAGCTTTCTCCCCATATGGATGCGATCTCACCACGGGGCCATGAGGCTGCCCACAGCCAGCGGTGAGACCAGCACCGAGATCAGCTCGGGTTGGAGCCCAGGAGAGCCCAAGCAGAGCAGAGGAGCTGCGGTTTGCGCTGGAAGCCCCGGTGCTGTCTCCAGCACCAATGCCAGGCAACTGCTGCTTGCTGCTGACTTGCCTGTGCTGGTACAGCCTCAGCACAAAGCCTCCAACTCCTGCTCTAACCTGCAAATCCTCCCTCCTCAGCCCAACAGGGGAATTATGAGGCAGGGCTTCATCTGGGTGAATGCTGCAGAGCTCCTACAGAGCTCTGCACCAGGCCCAGAGACTCAAACAGTCTAATGCTAAAGGTTTGCAAACACGTTGGCCAAACATGAAAAGCAGTCAAAAACCATTAAAAATACCCAGAAGGATTCACTAAGTCTGGGATTTTACTGCACCTTCTGTGAGGTCAGGCACTGAGTCACCAATAACAGATTTTAAAGCAGCTCTGCTCTGGAGACAGGCTGACATTGCTGGGCTGGTTCAGCCTGGAGGAGAGAAGGCTCCTTAAGGGGAGACCTTAGAGCAGCTCCAGTGCCTAAAGGGCCTACAATAAACCTTCAGAGGGGCTTTGGACAAGGGCCTGTAAGAACAGGACAAGGGGAATGGCTTGAACCTGCCAGAGGAGAGATTGAGATTAGGTATTAGGAAGAAATCAATGTTAAAAGATGATAAATGCTCAGAGGCACAAGGAACTGAGCCAACTGAAGACTTTCTCTTTTTAAAAATTGAGGGTTTTTTTAAAATCAAAGTTTCTCATTTGGCTCAGAAAATAAATCAGCATCTGTAACAAAAAATACAATTTTAGAAAAACATTTGTATACATATATCTAAGGAAAACACTCATTCTAATTATCTTCTTACAACAAAAAGCCCAACACCTAAGAGTCCCAGCCGGCAGTCCCCCACTGAAAGCCACTGAGGAGCCTCATCTTTTCCTGTGAGTTAATTTAGAACCTGCTCTCTCGAGGTTGTTTGCAGCAGGGGGGCTCCCACAAACAGCAAAAGGATTCAGTCAGCTGCAGTGATTTGGGGTTCAAGCCCCTCAGAGAGCGGCTCCATCGGCTCCTTGCCTGGGGTGGAACAGCAGCATCTGGGCAATGGGAAGTGATTTGTGTGAATCAATCACAAGCCCATGTTTTATGAATGACTCCAAGAAGCCTGGGTCACACCAAAACCACAACACTTCCAGCTTCATGTCTTTGTTTGTAATTTGCCGTATAATACATCTATCATTCACTATCGCAGGGCTCTGCAAAAGCAGATCTTAGATGGGTTTGAAGCTTTTGTATACTGAAGGTGTCTCTCTCTCGCTGCAGAAGGAATCGACAGGGGACAGTTAGATCTAAGGCTGGTTACAGAGTCCGTTAATTGTAAGTACCTGCAGAAATGCTTTGTTTGTGTGCTGTGCTGGGGTTGCAGTTAATCAAAACACATGTGACTACTGCTGTGAAGAGCCAGTCAAGGTGACAAGCTCTTCACTGGCTTGGCTTTTGAGAAATACATTCACCTTTGTGCTCTGAAACTGAGCAAACGCTCCAGGTGGTGCAGAAGCAAGAAAACAGCACCCTGCTTTAGCAAGACGACTCCTCTGATTTTATGCCACCTTCTGCAAGGTTAAGGTTGTAATTAAGATCGGATTGGGACATATCAGGTGAATCTCTACCACAGGCTGAAGATGCAGCCTCTGGAAACAAAAACTCTGCCCAAAACACATCAATACACTCCATGAGCTAAACCCAAACAGCTCAGGGAAAATGAAGGAACTGGAGCTTTGCAAAGTCAGAGCCTGTGGCCCATTCGCATCCCCACATACTCACGTTCCAAATCCGTTCTTCATTTTATTGGTGGCTTTTCTTTCCCCATTGAAACTGTCTCATGTTACGACTACTAAAAATGACCAAAGCTCATGAAATCTTTTCAGAATCCCCAAAATTCCAAATCTCAGGCATGTGCTTTGAGAGTGGGTTATCCAGAGGTGTGGGTGCAGTTAAACGTGAGGCGGGAAATGACACAGCAGCAGACTCAGGAGCACCGGGATGTTCTCCACATCTCTGCTTGAACCAGGAGCACTTTCCACATGAGCAGGAGGCAGAAGGGGGCACTGAAGCAAAGCAACACACACGAGGCCCAGAGGACACCCTGGAACCCTGTGCAGGAACTTGGCTCTGGTGCGCACCCCGTGGAATTCATTCGCATCCTCAGCGTGGAGGACGTGGACCAGGGTACTAAGAGTGAACCTGCATCACAAATGCTGAAATCAGCATTAATTTCAGATTAAGCTAATTCCACACATCGACATGTTTTCCAGAGCACTTCCCTCTTCCCTGTGCGGCCGCACGGATGTGTGGGTGCGTGCGCATTCCAGCTTGCTCACCTAATCTGCAGCTTGACATGTCATCATTTCTAATGTACCCACCTTCTAAATAGGTTCATAATTGGAAAAATCATCTTTGCTATATATGCCGAACTGCGTTTTATACCCCATTGTGTTGTACATTCAAACTACAGCATTACCTCTAATTAAAACCAACAATAACTCATGTAATAGGGGAAGTGATCTTGTTAACTAAATTGCTGGGCTGCTTTGGCAAAGCACAAACCATAAGCAAGAATTCTCCAGGTTTTTTTCCTTTTGCCTCCGGGATCCTCACAGGAAGTTCCAAAAAGCTATTAAAGCCCAAA